TTTGAAATCTACTGTTTAGTATTTTATATATTGCTCATATATCAATCAAATCGTAATGAAGATAATAGATTATTGATATTTTATGAGCATCGAAAAATTTGATCAAGTTTATATCCAGAATGTCTAAAATTTTATAATTATTTATTTATGTTTTAAATGATGTAATAATTAGTATTGAAATTGAAAGCGATAAATATTAAAAAAAAAAACAATATCAAATCTTTCGATTTTCATATATGATTAGTCGTATTGTTCATTGAAGTGACCATCTATATGGAATATTCCGGTGAAAATCACATTTGTTTACCTCTTTCTATTCTGTCTAGCTTTGACTAACCCCCTTCTTGGTCGATCTTTATTGTTGATTGCCTACTTACTTTACTTCAAGTAGATTACAAAACATATCGAAAAATGACCGATCGTATCGATTATTTTACTACAGAATTATATTCAAAATAGCCTTCGAGTCTATATTCCAAATTGACTACTAGAAAATTTATCATAGTTAAATTATAAGATACATAGATATTTAATATTTGACTTCATAGGCGTTAATTGAAGGACTTTTTATTATTTGATAAAGATTGAGAAACAAAATATTCAAGAAATATTATAAAGACTACTAATCGTTTGAAAATAGAAAGCACACGGAATATTAGAAGTAAAGATTACGTTTTAAATTTGTTGAACATATTGATAATTTGTTAACGAATACTAACAATGCATTATTGTGTAAGATCATTACACAATCTATTTTCAATGAATCTTGAAAAGAAAAAGAAATCATTCCTTCTTCTATTCAATAATATTTCGTTTTTATTCGATTTTCTTTCATTATTTAACTAAATTCTTGTTAAAAGAATGTAAGAAAAATTAAAAGATAAGAGCAATATTCATAAATGAATTTGATTTTGTATTTTTTGTTTAGAAATACTCCAAACAAGGATCATTTTGGAAAATCTTCAGTTTCGTATAAAATTCGAAATTACATAAGAAAAACCAAAGGACACGGATTGATCAGAACACATTTTTCTCCTTTTGATGAACCCTGTTACATATCCAGCGAATCGGAGACGCTGGAGAAGTGCAGGGAGATGCAGGAAATGCTAGACTAACTACAAATAGACGCGACCATTACACCTTCTCCCGCACCCACACTTGTGAGCGATGCCACTGTGGGAGATGCCGCATCTACCTGTGGAGAAGTGCGAGAGATGTGGCGTCTCTCCAGGAGATGCTGCATCTCCCTGCACTTCTCCAGCTTGTCAGATTTCCTGGATATGTAACACTGCTGGATACTAGCCAACAATATGCGCATCTGTTTGACAGAAAATGAATAGATAGTATTCGAGTTTTATTCGACTGCAATATGCGATGTGAAGCTACGAAATGTCGATCATCAAATATATCAATATTCCATAAAAAAGGGAATAATGGTTTCTATGATTTTAAGTATTATACCAAATTAAAGCGCGTCGAAAATGACATTTGTCAGTGTTAAATAGTAAGGAGTATGACATTTTTTCAATGTTGAATTCAGAAAATTTTCAGAATTTTACATCCTATTGGCATATAGAAAAATAAGTTTCATAAAGCAGTTCAAATTAGATCTAATGTAAAATGATGAATATCACAAATTACTATTTATCTTTGAAGTTTGACAAATATAATCAATAATTAGTATGACGACCACTAGCTTTCTTTACAGCATAAAAATGATACGAATACGAAGATAACTTAATATTTGTTTCTATGTTTGTCAAAACATCTGAAAATGTGTTTTTCATAGTTTCTTTATAATAACTCTTGTGTGTCACCCCTGACAGCATCTTTTTTCAACTTTATTTTTCATTTTTCCTCCAATATTTCCAGGTCAAATGTCGAGTACTTTGTGATCTTTGATCATTTTGCACTAGATCTAATTTGAACTACTTCATGAACCATACTTTTCTATGCCAATAGAGTGTGAAATTCTGAAAATTTCCCGAATTCGACATTGAAAAATAGTCACACTCCTAACTATTTAGCACTGACAAATCCCATTTTCGACACACTTTAATTTTCGTATAGAATTTATTATGAATGTTATTTAAAATCACTGGATTATCCACAGGAAAAAACACTTTTAGACACTCTGTAAAATAAATGACTAATACATATTATAAATATTGGACAAAATTTGATACCTAGATATTTCTGCAGAACCATATCAATATCAGCTGACTTTTATTTCGCATCTCGCTATAAAACGTTCTCAATAGAATAGGCATCTTAGTCTACATATGTCCTGAAATAGTAAATTCTTCGACGGTTTATCTGTGAGAGCACATCACTCGAAAATCAACCTCTTCGAAGTGTTTGAACTCTCATTCGCAACAATATAGGTACTTTGGTTATGTAAGCTTTCCGACATATTATTATACACCAGTAAAGTTAGCAACCTATGCTGGTTTTTTGTCGAAGACATTTCTCAAACGATTTGCACCGAAAAAGATATGAATTGCGCCAGATAGTGCACCGAATCTACTTTCGGATGCATACTTTTCGAAAATCTTCTGTTTCGGACATTTGCTTGAAAATAAAAAAAGAACTCTTTTCAAACACTGTTTTCAGTAAAAAACCAAGAAGTTCCACAAAATATTTGTTCGAAAAACTGTGTAAATTGAGAAACCATTTGTGCTAGATGAAGTTCGGTGTGATCCATCGATTGCTATCAAGTTCGACCTTGTTCAACGCAAGGGTAGACATCTAGACAGTTAAAAAGTACCAGGATAGAGGGTTTCAACATATGGCATCACCAAATATTTGTTCCAATAGTTCTGTTAATTGAGAAACTATTTGTGTTAGATAAACTTCGATGACATATACTGGTTATGACTAATATTACCTTGTTCATCACCATAGTGAAAGTCTAGGTGACCGAAAACTGGTGGTACTGAGGATTTTAGGATATGTCAACACCAAATCTTTGGTTCCACAGTAGTAGTGTCGGTTGAGAAATCATCTGTGTCTGATAACAATCAATGAGACCTATCTATTAGTACTAAATTCGACCTTGTTCATCAGTATGATCGAAGTCTAGATGACAGAAGCCTGATAGCACCGAAACTTTCAACACATGTTATCACCACTCGAACCCACACCGACACCTCCAGAAATCATCTACCCACACTCATAAACCATCAAAAGCCATTTTGGTGGTATACACGTGAGTGCTTCATGTACAAAGTGCTCAATCGAGTATTACGAACACTGGACGGCAACATTATTATCCGACTAGGATTTTTTTCTATGTGATGCTCACAGGCAAATTGAACGATTACACAAGAAACAGGTCAGTCAATATCATGGGAAGATCTTTTTACTATATCGAGGTCAAGAATTATTGTCAGTGGATTTCAAAAAACTCACAAAAAGTAAAGATGATCTTTTATCTTTTAATAATTTTTTTATCCACCAGTAAGAGCCATGATGTTTCCCTCAATTTCACCAAGAATGTTTCAGGAATGATCGATATGATCGGTATCCTATTTCAAATAACTACAGATCCCATCGTCTCATCCATTTCTTTTGCCTGCATCCAGGAGGAAAGTTATTTCAAGGGCGATGAGGAGATTCTCTTCTCCATGCACACAGTTTTTCGAATTGATGAAATTCGCAAACTTGACAAGAATCGTCGACTGAAGAATTGTATACCGTGGGACTTGAACAGGCATCTAATGACAGTGATAAAGTATATATATATCTATAACCAGTTTGGATGGGTGAAGCGCAATTAATGACAATACAAAGAAGCTATTTCATTTTACGAAAAAAAGCTCTGCCTTCAAATTATCCCAATTTGATTGCTTCCTACAACAACATAGGTCTCATGTATGACAACATGGGTGACTACTCGAAAGCACTTTCATTTCTTGAAAGGGCACTTTCAATTTTTCGAAAATCGCTTTCGCCAATGCATTCTCATATTAAAACATTGATAATAGTATAAGCTGTATGAAAAAGAAAATCCAAATCATTTTTTTGTCTTTTGGCTTGCTCAATAAATTTGAACTCATCGCTATTCATCCCTTCCAGCTTTTCTCAGCTCTCTGTCACGTACACGCGCGCCCAGGATGACTCTCTGTAAGCCTGAAATGCGTACATGCAGAGCGAACCATGCTGAACTAGTAAGGCAATGCACGTAGATATGACTTACAATAACAATGACATGAACCTACGAACATAGTAGGCCTTGCCGAGTACTATACTGATTTCGCCATAATAAGCATAAGGAATCTCCATGGGTCAGGTTATGAAGCAACCTGACAAGGTGTGATATACCATAGTACCTCTCCTTCAATACATTTCTCATTAGATCGACTACTTTTCTTCTCTGTTACGATTATTAAAAATAAATCAAAAGGATTTATAAAGATGTCAAGGTGACATGCAATATGTTTCTATGAAGTATGATTAAGTTTCTTGATATTGAAGTAGATTGTTCTGTTAACTGTTCAATAATCACATGAATTTAGGCCTTGTTCATTCGATTAGTATAAAAAAGAAAGCTTAACAGTATTATTGTTTTCTCAGATTCGATTAATGAAACACTCTTTGATTGTATTATTTCTCATTAATAATGAAATCATATACAAGATGTAGACAATTTACATATTCAATTATAGATAAAATTGAAATATCTCCAATCATAGTCGAAATTAATGTATACATTTTCGGAAAAATAAACCTTGACTTAGAATAACTATATAAAATTAAATTTTCATTCAAATTTCTTTAGTTACAATTGTCATTGATTTATATGTGAATCTGTACAAATTGAATTAAATCACAATGCCAACGTTAACATATTCTTTATCCAAATGAAATCATATTTTTCGCTTTATATATTGATAAGCTTCTTTAACAACATGAAGCATAACCCAATAAAAGATAATTGGTGTTTTTTTCTGTGTGTGTGTGGATGTAAAAAAACAACAAAATGTAAACAAAAGACATTTTTATATAGATGGATATGGTTTATAAAATGATGGTATTTGTATTAGATTAGCTACAAGTCGATCGATAGAATGATCTGATTCATAATCAATTAGTAATGTTGAAGGATGATAAAGTGATAATTGAGGAAGTAACATTCGAAGTAATGTCCAGACATTTGTACGTAATGAAATCAGACTATTTTGATGTGAACATGGAATATGATTTGAATCATCTGTTGAACAACTACTATTTGAACGTGAATTTTGTGAATCACTAATGCAAAAAAAAAATAGAAATAAAATGAAGTAAAACAAAAATGACATTATTTAAATAAATAATAAACTTACTCAAGAGATTTTTTCTCATCAGGAATCAAAATTTTATCAGTCAGAAAGCATGTTGAAAAACTAGATTTTTCATCATTTACTTTGATCTTTTCATTATTGATATTAGCTGAATAATTAGTACTCATATTTATAATACGAGCACGTTTTGCTTCGGACATAGTCGTGTTAACCACATGAGATATACTATGTTGACGTTCATGTTTCGACATATGTCTGTAAAAAAAGAAATTAAAGAGAATTAATTATATGATTCTATCAATATTTAATAATGACAGAAAAAAAAAGAAATTCATTATATAGATTAAATAAAATACTTTCATAGTTATTTTAAACTTTGATGATATTTTTTCTCATGCAGAAAAATTTTGTTTTAAAAATAAAGAATCATCGAACCTGATATTAATTGTTGAATAATTGCATTTTTGACATCGAAGGACACGATTATTCATATGGCATCTCTATAAATAATGATGATAATAATAGTAATATATAGCAAGAATAAAAAAATAAATCTTACTATATGACAATCATATTTTGATTTTAGTAAAGTTGCATATGAACAAAGATGACATTGTCGAACATTAACACCGAGTTCACCATGTTCTTGAAATAAATGCTCACGAAAATTATTTATGTCTTTAAATGTACGTGTACATTGACTACATATATGAACTAATTTAGCTGGTTCTGTTGCGTTTGATCTTTTAAAAAATTCCAACATAAAAATAAATTTCAGTTAATACAAAGAATTGACTTACGCAAGTTGTTTTTCTATTACAAGAGAATTCATGAGTAAAGTAAGTTAAGTAAATTACAAATCGTTACATCCTTCAATCGGCCTGCATTTACACTACAATACAAAAAGGAAGTATGTATATGTATATATATACATATAGATAGATAGGTGGATACATGTTGCATCATATACGTGTGATGCGACGAACCTGATTTCTGGCATTTTGTGAGTAAACATTCATCTCTCTTTCTTTTTGCGTCAGTTTGATTAGCTTCGGTAAGTGCAACCAGACCGAGCAATATATTTATGTGGTCGAAGATGAAGCCGGTGACGACGGCTACTATTTTACATAATTTCTTTCGTATTGTTTTATGTCAATAGACATAAGGATGACAGGTAGTGCAAGTGTATGTGTCAGCATTTACGTAACCCATTAGGAAGAGTGACGGATTGTGGCAATAGATAGATAAATGTGTATGTATGTATGTCGTCGTTGTCGTGTTTCGATCGTTCTTCTCCGCCTACTCTCGTCTATAATTATATGTAATTTGAACAACACGTACAACAATCGCCAATAACGAATAATTTTATGGGTCGATGAGACAATCATATAAACTTTTCTTTTTCCTTTTTTTTTTTTTAATAAAATAATCTTTGATATGTGATCATTATTAAATGCTATAATTATTTATAAATTCCAAAACAATTAGTTGAATAATAATTGTTTTTGATCTTTATGAAAGTCAATTACTTGAAGAGCTTTTTATATATTATTCTAATTAATTCCCTGAAGGACGCTATCGTTAGAAATAAAAATCAACGGAAAAGGATGTCGACATTCGACAAAACTTTATCGATAATATGTCCCCATCAAATTCATTACAATGTAATGGAAAAGAAAAAAAGAAAAGTTACTAAACGAGAATAAAAAAAGGAGCCAAAGAGAAAAAAAGAAATATAACAGAAGTTGATGACAAGTCTCGTAGAGTAAATCAAATTAATGGTTAAATAAGCGTGCATAGGCAGTCCATTCATGACATTGGTTCAACTTTATATTCACTATTATTTTTTCACTATCAATTCAAATAGATTTTGATTTTTTTTTATTGGTATGCCACGTTTATAATGATTACTTTATTAACAAGAGAAAAAGAAGTATTTTTAATATATATATATATGATACTTTTTATACTTAACGAGTATTTTGAATAAAACAATCTGTCATTTCTATTTGACGAGATGAGAGATAATGAGACGAGACACTAGTAGAATGTTGCATGTACTTCATGTTGTTTTTTTTCTAGCATTAAATATATATGTGAATAAGAAATGTAAAGTTTGTGGATAGTATTTCAATTATTTAAAGAAAACAAAGTGGGTTCTTCATCTTGATGAGATTTTCTCTATATTGTCTCTCGAATGATTATTTCATTTTGACGTCATTGAATATATAAATCTATCTAGATTCCATATGTAGTAAAAATAACGTATGCACAATTGTTCAGTAAGATATTATATGAGTTTTTACATAGGCGTTACTTTTTCTGTTCAAATTTACAGAAAGACACAAAATTAAATTTGCTTCTTCTTCTTATTATTATTCTACTATGCATTGCACTTGATTCGATTTGATAATACTCATGCGCTAACAAGTACGAATGATCAGCGCACTGAGAATATAGAAAGAGAGAAGTAATATTTTTGTTTGACATATATTTGCTTTTTACTTTATAGATTTACAGAGACGTCTTTTTATTGTTAACTGTCATATAAAAATGATTAGTTTTATATTCTATTTTTCTTGCACTCAAGTATTACATAGATATTGAGGCATTATGCTTTTTAACGTTTGTTTTGATCTATAAATACAAATAAAATAAATCAAGAGTCAGCTATCAAACTCATAATCATAATAGACTAATTTCTATCATAGCTAAATAAATGTCGATAAACGAAAAAAAATGTTCATTTTCTCATCATCGAATATGTATGAATATAGAAAAAAAAACAACAAAGAAAAACCTCTATTTATATTTTCCGTTATTTCATGTTATTTTTGATTCATTTTTTGTATAGTGTTCAACTATTATCATCGGAAGACGACACTCTATTCTATTATTACTTAAATTCCTCTTATAAAAAAATCTTTTTCTTGTCAACAGTATTTTATCCTCATGTGGCTACTCATTACTGCTTGTACTGTATTTTTAATTTCAAATTTATGTTTGGCAACAATTCATAATAATCCAAAGAATCTTATTTTTCAAAATGAACAAATACAACAATGTAAAACCATAGGAGATAATTGTCAAGAAAATAGTGATTGCTGTTCAGATTTAATTTGTTATTCAACTCAAGGTATGATCATCGTCTTATCAATTTTTTTTTTTAATTTTTTTTATGTGAAAAAAAAAACAGAAAACAATCTCTGTGTACCATCCACATTCAATTTGCGTTCGAAACATGATTTGGAAGATTTTATCATTCCACCATATTACAATCCAAGCAATCAACTTTATCCCTATGGAATTAGTAAGCCCGCATTGCCATTCTATAAAGCACTAAACTCAAAACAGAGTTCTGAAAGAAAAAAAATGGGTAACTGTGATCAATATATATATACTTATATACAAAATCACATTCTTATGTTTTGTTTTTCTTTTCTATTCTTAAGAATGGGATCATTGTCAATTTCATGAAGATTGTGGAGAAGGAAATTGCTGTTATGTGCATTTTCGATTTCGTAGCTTGCCGAAATGGTTTTGTCGACCGAATCGAAATGATATAACTGAACTATGTGCGCCTTTAACTAGATATCGTTCACTCAAAGATGTACCAGCTTGGAAACAACAACAACAAGAACAACAACAACGACAACAGCCACAACGATAAATGCCGTTTATAAAATGCAGACATGACATGATCATTACGTTGAACAAAAAGAGGAGAATAAAGAGAAAATTCTCAAATAAAAAAAAATGACTAAAAAATTAAAGAATGTCTATTTCTCATATATAGAATGAATGTTCATTGATATACGTATATATATATATATATTTGTAGATCCTTTTTCTTTTAGTTTATATAAACTTCTACATTTCGTTTCATATTCTATTATGATCCAAATAACAACAAAATAAGATTGTTAATCATATAATAAGAGTGATCACTTGCATATATGTTTGAACAATCAAAAGTGACATGTACATTTAAAAAAAGAGAGAAAGCGAGAAGATACTTTCTATATATGTTTCACGTATTTTTCATCTCATTACCAATAGTAAAAGAGAGTTTACGCATCGACGATTAGCGACTAGATGATCGATTGATGGACGATGAAATGAGCATGTTTATGAAAAAATGAGTACGAACTCATTTACTCGCCTATTCATTGTGAAAGTAAGTCAAGCACGACGATCGCGATATATATAGTACAAGAGTCAAAAGAAAAATGTTCATACAGTGATCGAATGACCGATGAAACTCGAGTTGCGCATCACTAGTCACACAAAATAAGATGAAATAGTGAGTCTTCTTCTTTTTTCTTTCTTTTCTCTCAGTGACCATCCCTTATATCTCTTTTTCTATTGAACGTGTGACACAAAAGGTACATCAATACGTACATATATTCACATTAATTTGATAAAAAAACTAAACAACAAAAAATAACCCCGAGCGAATATTTTAACTATTATGGCTGATACTGTTGCTGCAGCATATCCGTCATCAACATCACCTGGAAATCCAGAACAACAATATGTTCAACATCAGTATAGTTATCAAGCTCAAGCAACAAGTCCAGGTGGTCATCAATATTATGCTGAAGCAAATGGTATGGATCAGCAACAAGTAATGCAAGAAAATGGTGATCAACAAGCAGCTATTCATCAAGGTCAAGAAATGAATTATGCTCAATATACACGTAGTGGAGCTGAACATACTAATGAACAACAAGTTGGTTTTCTCGAACAAAATAATGCTGGTATTGTTCAACAATATGTAGGTGCTGCTGGTCAACTTGCACAACAACAAGGACAAAATGGTTATAAAATCAATTTTGATCCTAATCCACAAATTATTCGTAAACATGCCAATGATGCTGTTACATACAAACAAGAAGTTGCTGTACGATATTTACGTCCACCAACACCACCACCACCTGGCCCTTTGATTATCAAAGAGGTAAACGAAGAGATACTTTAGAGATTAGAATAAAGAAGCAAAAAACGAAAAGAATTTTGTTATTCTTATTAGGTACGTAATCCAGCATTACCTCCTGCTCCACCTATTGTTATTCGACAACGACCACCACGACCAGCTACACCACCTCCACTCATCATTCGAGAACGACCACCACAACCACCACCTCAACTAGCACCAAAATTGATTACTAAACCTTTACCACCTCCTCCACCACCACCACGACGTGTCATCATTGAACGAATGCCACCATTACCTCCTAAACCTCAAAGGTTAGTTTTTAGTTTTGTTTTCTCTATTAAAAAGAATTATATCTTCTAGTATTATTGTCGAACGTTGGCTTCCATATAAACAACAAAAACGACGCGTTATCTATCAAAAAGCACCAGCAGTACAAGCTCCAGCTCCTCAAAAAAATCTTATTATTCAATGGGAAGGTACACAAGCTCGTGTTGTCAAGGAATTTCGTAATTTGGGTATTATCAAAGCTGATCCAAATACATATGTACAACAATATGGTTCACAATTACGACCTACACAAGGTTTACCAGAATTTGTTAAAGGATTACCTACACCTAATCTTGGACCAGAATATGTATGAAAATTTGTTTTTTAATCAAACAAAAACTTTTGTTTTTGTTTTTATTTTTAGACAACTATTACTAATCCTGATCAAGTTGATCCAGCATTATTAGCTGGTGCTGCTGGTCCTATAGGCGGATATGAGGTTGCTGGTGATTCAGGTCTACTTGCTAGTGCATCAAATGGTTCATTGACTGCTAATGGACAAGCTGGATTTATGCAAGAAAATGTTCAATATGCAGCATATGGTAATGGGGTTGCAAATGGTGCTGATCAAGTTCCTGGTGAACAACAAGGTGGATTCATTTATCAACAAGCAGCATATTCAACTGGTAGTACTGTTGAAGGTCAACAATATGCTGGTGAGTAAAATTGTATTTAATAGTTAATAGTTTATATGGTCAAATATATATTTTTAGCTGAACAACAAGGTTTTGAACAACAAGGTCAACATGGCAATGGTTTTGTACAAAATGTACAATATCAAACAATGCCTCAATATGGTGTTAGTGGTTAATTGGAGTATAAACAAAAAGCAGAAAAAAAAATAAAATAAACATGTATCATTAAAAATGATAAAAACGAATTCTTCTGTTTCTTCTTTTATTCTTATTTCATCTCACTCCAATGTCTTTCTTTCATGCTCGTCTCTTTCTTTTTTTTCTCTTTGTTTTTCTTTTTTTTTTTTTTGTTTTAATTCTTTTTGCTAATGTACTTCTTTTCTTTTTCTATTATTGCGATCGAAAAACGATGGCCTATCTATCTGTTCCTACAATGCAAAGCATTTCGTGATATACAATTTGTTTATACATCGTCGTAGATCAATTCCAATAATAAAATTCTTGTCTAGTGAATTTACAAAATTTTCATTTTAATGAATAAATTTAGAATAAAATTATTTATATGATGAGAAAAAAAAAACGAAACTCTTGAAGATTAATTTGAAGATATGTCATCGAATTTTTTTTTTCAATCAATAAAATCATAAAGAGTAAAAAAATAAAAATCGAAGTACGATTGATTCACATCCATATGACTATAACGTATTGTAAAAACATAATATTATTGTATTAACTGTGTTGTTTGGCTAGCATCAGAACCACTCATAAATGTTCACGTTATAGAGGTGACTATTATTGAGAAGTTTTCAGTATCTTTTTTCGTTGCAATCTATAAGTATTCAGTCGCAAACGCTTTTCCGCTTCACAGGGTGATGTTTTTTTTTCTTCCTTTCAACCATTGATTAATTCAACTTTTTCAATCCAAGATAAATCAATACGTATGGACATCATTTGATGTAACTATGTAGGTGTGAACATAAAAAACGACGAGATGTGACACTAACCACTGTTGCCTAATATTGCTTCTTTTTCTTTTTAATATGCACGTTTAGTTCATCCGGTTATTTTGTATGTACATCATGATCGTCTATTATAACTCAATACACCCATCATCGTTTTTCTTTCATTCTGTGTGGGAGTGATAGAACGTATGTTATTCACATTTGAGAAGTTTTTATTGCTTATTGGAGTAGAAATAAGTCTTCATCACTCAAAAAGAACAAATACTCATATTACGGAGTGCAGTCCAAAAATTTTGAATCCAGCAGGCTGTAGTTATCTGAAAAGTGTATATTTCACTTGAAAAAAATTTAATTTTACCAATCAAATTTATTCTTATTCTTTCTTAAACTTAAATAAATCCACTTTAGATCATTCTCTTTATTTATCATCATCTAAAGTTGAACATATAAGCATGAAAGATCGAGAACAACAACAACAAAAAAAGAAAAAGAAATAAATCTATCTACATGTATAACTAATCGTACACTCTCATGCTTTGTTTTTTTTTTTTCATTTGTACGCCAATAAAATAAGAAGCCAAAAAGAAAAACGAGAATATATAGAATAAGTAAGAAGACAGAAGCGATAATGCGTATATGCAAAAAAAAAAAAAAGAGAAATCTCAACGATCACCGGGAAAAAAATCGTAAAAAAAAAACTATCTGACGATTTAATGTTTATGTTTTTTTTTTTAAATATTCCATAATACATTGTAATATGTATGTAAATATTGTATATATATAGTCCATGTATAATGAAATATTAATGATGAATCTGCTTTTCGAACTTGATTTAAACATGTATGCACTAATTCAGCATTTGTTTCAAAATCATATGTTAAATTCATTTGTATATGTTCAAGAATTTGTTGATTATTTAATAAATGATTAATAAATTTTTGTAATGATGTACTATTATTATTTGTATCATTTGATAATTTTTCACATAATTGTTTATGTAAATCAATAAGAACATTTTCATTTAAATGAAATTGTGAACGTTTTATATGAAATGTTTGATATAATTGATCAATAAAATGAAATAAAAATTCAACAATTATTGGACGATTTGATATTGTTAATAATGATGTTGGTATATATGTATGATTATTTAAACATTTATTTATATAATCAAACCATTGATTATTATTTTCATTTGTTTCATAGAGATTTATTTCATGATTAAAATAATTTGGTATAAATTTTTCATTAATTTGTAAATGAATTTCTTTTAAAAAATGTGACAGTAATTCAAAAATATTATTAGTTGTATGGTCACGATTACTAAAAAGAAAAAAATGAAGATCGAATTTTATAAAATACAACTAAACTGAAAATTAACCAGAAAACTTTTCAGCTACCCTATTCGGTGTCAATGAGTTTTTTTCTAGAGATACTATAGTCTTCGAATAAAAATCCTTAAAGGATATGAGTTTCCATTGATACTAGACTAGCTTACATAAAAACAAAATTCAGATGTTTTGAACAAAGTTTCTTCGAGAGAAAAAGTTTTCTACATATCCATAGGCGAAAAAAATCCTTGAAAATCAAAAGGGGCAACTGAAAAGATTTCTTCGTAAGCCCCTTCCGACCGAAAAAATGTCGAAATCAATCTAAGACCATCATAAATTTATTATATGTGCACTGTCACCGTTGAATTTCTAATAGGCTCAGTTAGCTTAGGTTTAAGTAAACTCCCCCCTAGAATAAAAGGCCATGGCTTTCTATTATGGAAATTCACATCGCTTCTGCAAAGGTGGCCTTCTATTGTGGACTATTTTTTTGCTAAGATTTACCTAAAAAACCAGGGGTTGTTGGAAAAATTTTCTACCGTTCAAAAAGGCACTTTTAGCAGTCAAGTTCCGTAAAACCAGTTCTCTTACTAGAAAAAAATGTAATTTTAGTTACAAANAGTTAAGATTTCTGATGTCATCATGGTTTCGGTTTCAGTTGCAGGCATTGTTTCTGTGGAAGACGCTTGAGCAGTAGGTCCGTCGGTTGCAGTGCCCGTTACCGATTCTGTACTCGATTGAGTTAATATTTCTGATGTCATCATTGTTTCGGTTTCAGTTGCAGGCATTGTTTCTGTGGAAGACGCTTGAGCAGTAGGTCCTTCGGTTGCAGTGCCCGTTACCGATTCTGTACTCGATTCAGTTAACATTTCTGATGTCATCATTGTTTCGGTTTCAGTTGCAGGCATTGTTTCTGTGGAAGACGCTTGAGCAGTAGGTCCTTCGGATGCAGTACCCGTTACCGATTCTGTACTCGATTCAGTTAAGATTTCTGATGTCATCATGGTTTCGGTTTCAGTTGCAGGCATTGTTTCTGTGGAAGACGCTTGAGCAGTAGGTCCGTCGGTTGCATTGCCCGTTACCGATTCTGTACTCGATTGAGTTAATATTTCTGATGTCATCATTGTTTCGGTTTCAGTTGCAGGCATTGTTTCTGTGGAAGACGCTTGAGCAGTAGGTCCTTCGGTTGCAGTGCCTGTTACCGATTCTGTACTCGATTCAGTTAGGAATTCCGATGTCATCATTGTAACACTTTCAGTTCCAGGCATTGTTTCGGTAGAAGACGCTTGCGTAGTAGGTCCTTCCGTAACAGTGACGGTTAGCGATTCAGTACTGGATTCAGTTCCCATTGCCGATGTCATCATACTTTCAGTTTCAGTTGCGGGAATTGTTTCTGTAGAAGACGCTTCACCGGTAGGTCTTTCGGTTACAGTGACGATTACCGATTCAGTACTGGATTCAGTTGCCATTTCCGATGTTATCATACTTTCAGTGTCGATTACTGGAATAGTTTCTGTCGAAGACGCTTGGGCAGTAGGTCCTTCGGTTACTGTGGCGGTTAGCGATTCAGTGCTGTATTCAGTTCCGATTTCCGATGTTATTATCCTTTCGGTTTCAGTTGCCGGGACTGTTGCTGTCGAAGAAGATTGACCAGTTGGTGGTTCGGTAACAGTGACGGTGAGCGATTCTGTACTCGGTTCAGTTACCATTTCAGATGTTATCATGTTTTCTGTTTCAGTTGCAGTGGCAGCAATGGATTTCGTAGAAGAAGCTTGAGCAGTAGGACCTTCGGTTACGGTCACGGTTTGTGATTCAGTAGTTGAATCTGTTAGCGTTTCAGGTGCTGTGATGGTGTCCGTTGGAGTTCCTGCACTTGTTGCTATAAAAAATTGCAGATATATTTGAGAGATGAGGAAATGAATGGTTGTGAGAGTCTGATATTATTATAAATTTTTTTCTCCACGAGTAGATAGCTGACTGTTTATTCTTATTATGCATGTCAGACGGTTTTTCTATTTTTGGAAGTGACAGAAAATAAGAATCGCGGAGTTCTTAGGAATGTGTATGTACTAAGAGATGGGTTCTGGTTTTACCTGCAACAGTACTGTCAGTTACATTTTGTATCATAGTCGATGATGTGATTGCTGTTACAATTTCGGTGAAAGTGACTAAAAGAGAGATTGAATTTGTGTTATATTTATTGAAAAATCGAATGAAAACACTATTCAACTGATATATTAATTATGCACAAGGACTCACTTTCTTGTGTTGACATTGTCTGGAATGTTGTTTCTGTGGTAGTCCGCAATGGTTCTGATGTGGGATAGGTGTTATGATTGATTGTGGTCAGTTGAATAGTGGTAGTGGCAGCCTCTGTATAACCTGTTGCTTCTGTTCCTGAAGTAGCTAAATACAATCGAAGAAGAACAACGTTTTTTTTTCTTTGACAGTCTGTTAGCAAGATTATGGTTGTTAAAAATTGTCAGTGTTATTCTTTTCTTTATAAAAAATGGAATGAAACTTATTCAGATTCTAAACAGAACCCATGATAAAATATAGCTTGGAACTGAGAAAAACAGTTTGTTGATTCGTCTTTTTTATTAGGACATATGAGTAATAAATTTTTTTTATTAAACGAAGAGGTAATTGTAATAACTTACTGTCAAATTCGGATGCACCACTAGCATCAACAATAGATGAAAAAGCTAGTACAGGAACCCATGAATTTGAGCCTGTATCACTCACATTGGGTTCATCATCGATACCATTATTTGATAATTGAGGGAATCCTTTGTCAGTAGTAGCAGGTTGTAATGAAATCGCGGGTGTCGATGAATTATCCATCCCTGCGTCACGTTTATGACGTTCATTTGATGTTTCTTTACCGATTGAAATAGATATAGTAGGAGCAATTATTTCATTATTTGCTATCAGTAAACCTTCAGCTGTTGGTTGTCCTTTTTTATTATTAGTATCAAGTGGAGGTTGAAAACGTGTATCCGTATCATCATTATGATTAATCGATCTTAATTCCCGTATTGTTCCTGTTAAGTCTGAATAAAGATGTTGGGTATATGCATTTGACCAATCTTCGCTCTTTTCATTGGAACCTACGTAATATGATATTTAGTTTGTCTTAGATTTAAAATGTGAAGTTAATTCCTTTTCGCTAAAAAAGTGTACATCAATGCTTAAACACCAGAGTTGTAATTACTGCTCTGAAAGTTTTTTTTTTAATAATCGTAATACTATTTTATATAGTTTCAATTGAACGTTACCGTATGTCTGTCTATTGAAATACTATAGAAATATGTATTTTTAATAAAACTACTAGGAGAATAAACTTAATTTTATGAATATATAATTATATACATATGAATATACATATATATATATATGTATTTATTTATATATTTATACATGTAATTTAAAAACTCTATAACGCCTTATTGTATATCCATGTACTTATAAAAGGGTATACTTTTCTTTTTTTACCTTTGACAGTATCTGTTAAAAATGTTATCGTAATCGATGATATAAGACAAGCGGCTGCCAGCAGCCGTATCGAATCCATTGTATGTTGTAATTTCATGATCTGACAACAATCTAAAATAATTGATCATAATGTATGAGAAACTGATTTGATGATAAAGAATGAAAGAAAATGAAACTGAATGATTACTTTGTATATATGACACAAAATTTCGAAACGAATAAAAGAACAATGAAAAAACAAACGAAAAAAATAGAGACAAGAGAAAAAAGAAGCAGAGAAAAAAAGATCGAATGAAACGAAAACTGAGTCTATGAAATTGCTGCCTGAATTAAAGATGAAAGTAAGAAGGCGAATGAGAGAGGGAACAGAAAAAAAAAATTTCTTCTTTCGATGACGACTGTTTCTCTTTTGCGATTTGATTTATACACAAGAGCATACTTTCATGTTTATACGTGAGTTTGTGAATGCTATCGCACCGGCACACTTCTGTCAGCATCGACTGCTCTGTTTATCAAGCCCCGAGCAAAAAAAGGCTCTTGAAAACTACTTGTGCCATTAAAGTAAAGGATTCTATTCGTTGTCGTTCTCCTTCTTCTCTTCAGTATATGATCCCTAAAACAAAAGCTCGAAAGAGAAAGAGAAAGAGAGGGGAAGAGAGAGAGGGAGGAGAGAGAGAGAAGGAAGGAACCAGCAAGAGAAAGTGTCTCTTAACACCGTCCTTATAGATGTACATTGATGCGAAAGTAAAATTTAGTAATATGTTGTTTTTTCCCACCATTTTTCGACGACCCATGAATAACATCATGCTTCCCTTTGGCGAAGAAAAAATTATGCATGACATACTCCCCCACATCCGTATGATTGTTTTGTTTAATTTGAATTTTTATTCTACCTTTTTTTTTTGTACAGAACAAAGTTGAATAATACAATCGATGTCAGCTCGAAAATAAACTACAAATAAGAAAGTCATTGTCAACATAAAAATAAAAAATAATAATAAAATAAAAGTAAAACTCTTAATTGATTTGATTTCATCATCATGTCGTCCAATTTAATAAGCGATTTATGCTGTGCTAACATTTCATAGATTTTTTTTTTTCATCTCTTAAATAGGCATATGCTTCCTTTGATGGAAGCCTATATTAAATTCATTTCTCCCATAGAACATCGTTATAGAACGTAAGAGAAGTCCAAAAAGCGTTGAAGATTATTTAGTTACTCTCTCGTTCCTGTTAAGTCGATTGAACAATCATCGGTCAGTTTTTTTTTCTGTTCTCTAACATTTGTGACATGCAATTGTATCTGCGTACATTTGATTTCAAGTTATATCGCCTATAAGTTGGAAGAAGAACAAAGAATCTACGATGTATTATAACACACCAAAAAAAAAGAATCGTCATAAAACTAGGCAATCAACCCACTTGAAAAATAATTTTCAATCAGCTATGAAATGAATAAAAATGTACTGGAGAGAAAAAAAATAGAAATTGCAAAATATATAGATCAATGATAAGTGTTTAGTTTGTTTGTATTCATATAAATATATATATATATATATATAATACATATAATCTTCGCTTATATTAAGTCAATATACCGTCACGCTGTAACCTTGGGCACCTATAGTGTATCTCAAAAATCATGACTTCAGCGGAACAGTACGGCATAAGCAACAAAATCGTTGAGATGTTTGCATTTAACCAATGCATATGCAAATAAAAAAAAAAAAAAAAAACTCGAATCTTGTGTATATAACTATCCATAAGCTTAAACTGTTTTCGTTTTATTCGGAAGATCAACATTCACAATGGTCCGATAAAGTACGCCGGAACCGGCATGAAAATGTTTTTGCTTCTTATATAATCAAAATAGAAAGAAAAAAAAAAATTTTTTATGCCAAAAAGGTACAAAAAATAAGAAACTGAAAGAAAAAGTAATCAACATAGATGTTTGAAGATGAATACATTCAATGGCAATAATAACAACGAAATTTAATTCTTTTTTTAATGTTTTCACGTATTTTTTATCTTTAAGGCCAAATCATGTAATATTTTAAGATGGTAACTTGATAAAAGTATAACAGAACCTATAGAATACATTTTAACAACAATAATCTATTACAAAATCACATGAAATATAACACTTTATTTAGTAGTTGACATCTACGTTAGCAAACGAAAACTGATTCGATTTTTTGTTTGTGGTAAAACGTTTTTCTTTTTCTTTTATTTAACAATACAAAGATGCGACATCGAAAACGGTAATCTATTTTTCTATAAGTTTCTACATAGACAATATTGAAAATTTTTCATTGAATGTTAAGTGGTCGCTACTGGAGGCAGTAAACATACTTTTTTTTTTCAAAAGACTAAATGTTTCTAGATGAGAAAACAATCCACATATGAAAACTAATTTATTTCAAACGTCGAAAAATATCATACAAGTCAAACTAGTATTAAAAAGCAAAAAGGTGATTTCTTTTTTTCTAGTAAAATGATAAGTTTTCGAGGGAAAAAACAATAAAATAAAAATTAATCATTATATATAATTTTCTATAATAATTATGTCGTATTAAATTTATAAATGCGTATATCAATAATTTTAATTCTATAGATTGTGTTGCTATTTAAAGGGAAACAAATGGAGCTCGTGAAAAATATGTTTATGTCATATAAGATGAAAAATATTTTTTTTCTTGTTTTTCTGTTTTGATAACGGTTAAAGTAGTCTTAAGATTCGCATTACCTTATTGTATCTTTTTTCTTTTATCCGTTACAATTGTATTGACAAATATATTAGAACAACATTTTGTTATCAAGCATATATTCGAATAAATTATATACATAACAAAAATAAAAGAAAGATGAAGGATTCGTAATGCAGATGATTAATAATAAAAATTATTGAATTGATCGAGAATAAAAAAAAAACGAGTTGAAAACGGAATAAAAAAAGGAGAACATAATCAACTGCCTGACTTTTTTTTTTGTTTGTGCACAATAGAAAATTGCCACTGTTTATATTTTTATTGAAGCCATTTACATTGCCCCCTAACAAACAAAATGAAATCAAGCAAACGAACACGGCAACAATATGAAATTAACATAGCATGATGGTTTTTATTTACATAGAGCAAAAATAATAATTCTTTCAAACTATTCTCTCATGTTTGAATTGAGAGAATTACAGAAAATATCCAATGCATATTTTTTTGTCTTGTACTGATTCATAGTCCTACAAATTTCTGTTTCATCAATCACTTCCTTCAATCGAGAAGAACAAAAAAAGTAAAGAAAAATATTACCGAGACCGAAACATATCAATTGAATTTAAAATTAAAGTACATTCATTAGCTTAATAGTTTCAATATTGAATGGTAGTGATTAATAGATGCACAGTAGGTATCAAAATTAGTCAACCTAATTTATTTTCTGCTACTCTAAGTGTTAGAAAAAATTCAAATAGTGGTTCGAGTTAGAGAAAATGATTTCTAACAAGAATATAACGAAAGAATAATTAGAATCAGATTCTCAATCATAGGAACTTCAGAAAAAACTCAAACTCTAGTTTTTCAATACTCAGAGTGCTTACATATAATTTTATTTAGACTACATACAACGTTAGAGTAAACAATTCTCTACAATGTTTTTAACTGAGATACAGCAGTCTTACACAAACCAATATGTGACCTTCAATCCAATTGCTGTATCTCAGAGGAAAAAACGTCGCAGAGAACTTGGAGACATCCTATTTCGTAGGCAAACGAAACAATATTTACGCGGTTGAGGTAATGAAAAATTGCGGTTTTGGTTTTCTCGAGTTTCTGTCTTTGAGAAGCAGATAATAATTTCTATTTCTTCATATTCCTATTGACAATTTTTTTTTCTACTTAAAACACTATTTGTACTCTTTCTAGTGTTTACGGCAGCGGAAAAAATTGAAAATAAACCTTGGCGAACGATTTCAATACACACTGTATATATGTATATATACAATAGCTGTAGGAAATATTCGATCAGATTTATTGTCAATTCTTTTCTTTTTCTGCTGTTGTAAATGTAAAGAGGATTCGAAATGAAGATTTGAGTAGAGAATCTTATTTACAACACAAATTTTCGAAGATAAAAATAGTTGCTAGCTTTCTGTGGAAAGAATCTCTAAAAAAAATCTCAAACCAACGTTTTTTGAGCTTTTACTATTCGCGAAAAGAATTCTGTTTTATTTTTCTAAGAAAGAAACTGATAGAACAAACATTTTTCTACAAAATAGAACATCTTCTAGCTGTCTACAACGTTGTTTGTCCGAGATACATTAACCATACGGAAAGTCTAGAAATTGTTTTTTTCTGTTATTTTATATAATCTGCTTTATGATTTCTTCGAGAAATATTGATGAAAAAAAAAAAGCGACTCTCTTACAAGAGAAAACCAAAATATGCATAAATCTCATATAAAATTATACTAATAATAACATTTTCCTTTCTGTTAGTCGAAATCTATATGTCCATTCAGTATACGTAAAATACTCAACATGCCAAACTTGAAAGTTGCATTCAATTACTCCTCACGTGAAAAAAAATTCAATGTCAGGACTTGTAAAATCAAATGAAATCACACTATAAGATGATTTTTACAGATCTTACCATCACATAAGATTTCTTATAACCTTATAGTTATATCTGACAAGACAGCAAGATTTTCAAGAATATTATAATATGACTTAGTGTAAGATTTCTGAGGTTATGTATGATTTTCGTCTGATTATTTGATCTGAGTCTAGAATAAAAAACAAAATTGTCTGCGTAACTAACTTTTTATATCTGCATCACGAAGTGAAAACGCATAGCGACTTCCGAAGAGTTGAAACTCATACTCTGTTCTTTGAACAGAATAAAGTGTATCTTTGTTTTATATTTTGAAACTACTGAAAAAGGTATATATAAAAAAAAAACAGCAAGAATGCGAATAGAAACGTCGCAAATCAAAAGAAACCAGCAGAGTTTGGATATATTTTTTTATGGTTTCTGATCGAAACGATAAATTGGATAAACTCTCATATAAATTGTTTTTCGGTTTCATCGGGAGGCGTTGATAAAAAAAATATATATTTTTTTTTCTGAGAGAAACCCAAAATATGACAAACTTTCAAATAAAATCATAATTTAGTCATGACATTTTCTTTTGTATACATCCAAATTTGTACGTCTTTTTTTTATGTTCTTTTCTATGCGCCCTTTTCAACACATCTGTTTGTACGTCCTTTTTCTCGACGCTTGAATCTGTCACACATGTCAAACTTGAAAATTGAAGTAAATTATTCCAGAATTAACAAAAAAAATTGTTTGCACAACCAACCTTTTATATCTGAGTCATGGCATGGGGCGTGTAGCGTTGCCTGACAGGCTGCCAGCCATACTCGTCTCTATGTAAACAGTAAACTTTATTCTTATTTTATGTTTTGACACTTCTGAAGACGACGTAAATCTAATCGGACTAGATGAGCCTGGATATTTTATTTACCACTTTCGATCGAAACGATAAATAGAATTAGCTTTTTTAAAAAATTTTTCTCTTTATGTTGTCATGCAAAATTTCACTGTTATTTTTTTTAGTAAAAGGACAAAAACACGTCTATAGAGTAGAAATATTAATATCTCCTTCATTAATGAGACTAGAAATATGAAAACTTGGATAAGTAATATTCGTCTCGTTGTAAGAAGTTGGATGGTAAAACTTAAGAATTTTTGAATTTGTAATAACAAAGAAAAAGTAATTTTTCTGAGAGGATCTCAAACGGTTATATCCTCTCATATTGCAGTTGATGAAAGAATACTATATAAAAATTTTTATACGAAACATAGTTGGTTCATTTATTAGTCAGTTGAAGATTTTCATTGAAATTGAATAATTAAGCTAAGACTAATTTCGCATGACATAATGATAGAATTAAATAACGACAAGTGAGTTTGCAGTTTCATGTTTGAATTTTTTATCACAGTGAATTATATTATTCTTAATAGTTACAGCAGTGAATAAGCCTTTTCTAAATTTAAATAACATGAAAAAGTTATAATTCTAAACATTAAATGAAAATTGTAGAATGCATAGTTACAAATCGATATAGAAATGAGGTGCGAGTGACATGCTAATTTTCTATCTTATGCCAATGAAGATCGTTATTCTTCAACAGAGACTAAAACAGAAAGAATTTTTTGGTTCCTCGCCCCGACATGACCTTGTCGAGTTTTAACAAGATGCTTGTATCCTTTGAACATATCATTACTTTGACTAGCTACATATATCGAAACATAAATAGACACAAGAGTACAATAAAAAAAAAACAAGTCGAGATCATCAATCAATCTTCTAATTCATTATCTTCCATCAGACAAAGAAATAAACATCTTCGTTTGACAGCGGAACACATACACTAAATTCATAAGAAGAATTTTTTTTTTAATCAAAAGTCTTACTCTTACTCTCAAAAATAAAGATGAAATAACAGTAAATGTATTGATAGAATTATACAACACGAAATGAATTATTGAAAAGAAATTCTTGATATAATTATTATGCGTTCAATATTTGCATTTAAACTTTCGATCATGTTCACATTGTCAATCACTTTTACATTCATTTTTCTTTCGATACGATGACTAAAATCTTTACAGCATAATAAAAGCTTATTTTTTTTCCGTTGTACTCAAAGTAAATATCGATCTTTTAGGAAAAAAATTCAAGCAAGCTATTGTAATAGTTTAAAATCGAATCTATTAAGAAATCTAATCATTTTTATATGAAACAAAATATAACCAATAATAAGAAGCGTTATGAAAATATATCCCTGGTTAAGAAATACGAACCGTTTCCGGCCGAAGATTCATGTATCTTGGTACCGAAATCAATGGCCCAGAATGGTGCTTTGAAAATATTAAAAAACTATATTAATACGAATAGATGGCGACATGCGTTTTTGTTTTGGTGGCAAGAGTCTATGATTTCCTTCTTACTTCTGTCTGTTCCAGGGATGCATCTGTTTCAATCATCAAATTATTAATTTATACAAATATATGCAAAATTAGTAATTCTACAACAGCCAATTACAATTACAAGCTCAATAATTGATATTAGTCAAAATTGTAATTTCTCCATTCCTTGTTTGTTCTTGTTTATCGTTGTTCAACTTAATCACGTTAATCAAAAACTTTCCTTTTGATTAACGTTTTTTTCTTTTAATTATTAAACTCTAGACTATTTTTCGAAGACACCCATGCAAATTATTGATTAAGATTGCATCCGTCCTCAAAAATATTATATTTTTACCAAAACATTATTTTAGAGGTAACTATAGAGGGACGTCAATTAAAGTGTTTGCTTTAAATATTTATCAAATATCTTTCTATGTTCCAGTGTTTCGTAGAGATACAACAATGCTTTCTCAAGTCCTTCACGATAAAATAATGAAACCCATATACGGAATAGCCGCAAGAGATTTGTTGGTCTTCTTTTCAGTAACAATCTCAGCAATACTTATAAACAAACATTCTTTTCCATACCTATTGTATTCTTTAATAGTTTGTACGGCAGAAAAAGATTAGTTAGTTAATTATTTCTCCAATATCACTGTCGTGCTGTGCCACTATTAAGGGATAAGCAACGATAACATAAGATTTATGGAAAAGAATATTTGTATGTATCTTAGATCCTACCGGATTGTTTCTGGACCCGACAATTTTGGACTTCATGGGCTCTAATTGTCTGAGAAATGTGTAGGATGCACTAGGCATAGAATACAAAAAGGCGCAAAAAAAAGTATATCGCATATTCGGGCCGAGTATCCAATTTCGATTAGAAAATATCATTGAGAGTATCAAAGTGTACGGTTAGATTGAGTCTAACTCCGAAAATGTTGGATCCAACGAGCTCTAATGTATACATCTTTATCATTTCGTTGTTAATTATTATTTGCAGAAAAACATCATCAATGCGAAACATCACGAACAAAACACAACAGTACTAACAACGAAGAGAAATTGTCTTTATTCAATTTAATTAAATGACTTTCTTTCTCAATTGAAAGTTAACAGTTCATATTTAAGTTATTAAAAAGATCTGTTGATTTGTTGTGAACAAAAGAAAGCAAGTTCACGATACAAGCCAAATGACAAAAATATACATGTCTATAAGATTAATAAAAAAATATAAGTTTTAATCACCAGAAAATGAATAATACGAAATGTTCAATATTCCATCGACTGTGTTAATTGTTCAATTACAAATTTCTAGAAATAGGTCTAAAAAACAGAGAAATAAATTTATATATATATATATATAGATAGAAATTTATATAATAACTTCTCATACCGAAAAAAAGCCTGTTGGGTTCGATTCAATATTTGATCTTGGTAATTTAAAATTTGGATTTACAGCTTCAACTATTTCATTATCTTCATAAAGATCATCTAGTGAATCATGAAATGTTAAATTTAAATCTTCATTATCAATAATTGCATCAAGTTCGTCAATTGGATCATTATTACTTATTGTTGATATTGTATCTGATGGTAAACTTGCTAATATAGCACTTGTATTTGGTCTTGTTATTGTTGCACGTAGATTTTCACCCATTTTTTGATCAAGTTCTTTAAAAAATGTACTATCTGTTGTATTACTTTGATTGTCATCAGATTCAGTTCGATCACTACTATACGTAGATATTGTATTTGTCCTATTATTTTGAACATTTCCTTGTGTAACCGACGATGGTACTTGAGCTCTTGGTAGATGCCAAAAACGAAACGTTCGTAGGTCATCTCTAATTAAATATTAATAAAAAAATTAAATTAAACCTAACATGTTGAATAAAACTTCTTACTTATTATGGGGTCGTCGACGACGCCAAATAGCCATAGCCCAAAGACAAAATGTTATAGCACCGAATAGACTAGCAACACCAGCTACAATACCAACTATAACTGGTGTCCAACGAGAAGGAAAACTAGATTTTATTGGATTTATATCTGCTGGGAGACAGCGATCGCCAACATAAAGTATTGATGAATCATTGTCATTAACAAAGCATTTACATTTACTTACACCATTTTGTGGTAAACATACACCACGTGGAGGATCTATTCCACATAAATGACATAGATTAATAAGAAAACATGGTGTAACATTTATAACAGATTCTAAATAGAAAAGAGTTATTCGAAAGATGAAATATAATAAAGACGAATTTTTCTTTTGTTTTTGACATTTATTATATATTTTATTATGAAATTTAATTATTTACCTGTTTCATTTCTACCACACTTATTAAATGTAAATAGTTGAACTCCAAGGGGTGATGTTATATTTTCAAGAACTTCATATAATCCATTCGTCATAGCAATATTATCCAAAGTTTCAAAATGTAATGTTACATCAACTGACGTCGAGCCATTGCACCTAAATTTTTAAACAAAAGTTGATTTTTTCTTTGTAATTTCATGTTTATATGTTTTTACATACGCAATTTCATTATAATTTGGTGATACACTATAATTATTATTAAGTGTTTGATTGAGTTTGTTCAAAATCTAATATCATTATTACAAAAGAAATTAGAATAATTATTGAAAAACAATAACATACATCAAATAATGTGTTATTTGCATTAGTACAATTGATCGTCATAATAATTATTGTATTATTAGAAGGATCTATGGAAACAATATTTTGAATAAAGTCAAAAGTGTTAAGTAAAAATAACCTACTTAGTGACTCAACTGGAGTAGTTGTTGTTGTAGTTATTATCAAAGCTGTTGTAGATATAGTTGTAGGGTTTGTATCCGGCTGATTTGTTGATGGTTCACTAGATGTTATAGTAGTCTCTAAAATGGTTGAAAGGAATTTTATAGAGAATAATGAAAGCTTGAAGAAATCTAATGATATAAGACAATGATAATATCGATATAAAAGATATTTTAAATAGATAAACCATATGTCACAATAAGACATAGGTGCGACCTAGTTTTTGTTGGCTCAGACAACTTTTTCTGAATAGTCCAGATCGAAGTCGTCGTGAATCTGGTATGTTCCTGGTCCCGGTTCTGGTAGGTTTTTCCCAGTGGTCACGGTTGCGATTGCTTTTTCGCAATGATTCTGCAGATGTATACTCAGATGTAACAGTTACTGAGAAACGAACACGATTAGCAAGTGAAAAAAGTACAACTTATTAAAAATAATTTTTCAAATTATATCAAACCAGAGAGCTTTCTCATTATTTATTTCAAATAACTTTGTATTATCAAAACATTTATCCCCATCATATTTACGAACGAAAAAAAAGGATATATGTCTATAGATACTGACGAAGATATATTTTAGTATTTATAATGATGAAATTATTTATGTTGTTTATATAGACGTGCATATGATTGTGATTTGTTTATTCATTAACATTTTTTATTTATGTCGTCTTATTTATAATGAGTTGTTTTTTTTTCCGTTTTACAAGCTATTAGCATGAAACTAATAAATTGATTTATGATATACGAAAAATTTCACTTAAAATGTCACAGAGTTAAGAATTTCATATATTCTCGGTTTCTGATCTCACTAAAGTTTTATTTTTTGGTCTCGTGCATATGTCTATTCATGATAATTCAATTTTGTCCTACATGATAACCATGGAGAAACAAGCGCCGATTTTATTTGTGAAAGTATTGCTTCATCATCTATTGTATAAAACGACGAATATTTTTAAAGTCTGTTAATACTATCAGAATCGAGCACTGCGTCTAAGCTGCCTGTACTAGCCACAGAACCTCAACCGGTCCCAGTTATAAGATAAAGTTGTTTTTATAGATGGCACTGCAAAAGTGTTCAACAGTAAAATATATTCTAAAACTGTATTTGAATTCTTTTTAATAAACAATTCAAATTTGAGTAGAAAACATTTTCTGAAATCATTCACAATTGCAACTAAAAATCGCAAGCACTACCAAACGATTTACTTGCAATAGTGCAATGAAATGTGCAATACAAAACATTAAATATTTGATAAGATTATTGAAAAAAAAATATAGCTTACCTGACGTTTGTTCTGTTGTTCCTTGTGTTGCTGTAAGAAAGAAAAACAAGAATATTTTTGCCAAAAAAAAATTTATTGTTAAATTTAAACGTACTGGTATCACCACTGCCATCAGTTGTATATGCAATATTAACTAATTGTTTACTTAATTCCTCATCATCAACTTTTAAGAAACTGTCAATTTCATTATTATCATCTTCTATTAGAGTTTGTTTTAATGATGTTTCAAAACCATTATCATTATTTGTCTCATTTGATATTCCTTGACCAAGATGATTATCAATCGGAGAAATAGTGTGATTTAAATTTTCTACTAATGTTGTAGTCTTACATGTTGTTGATAAAATATTATGTAATGTAGAAATTCGATTAATTACAATCAGAGATGTCGAACTAGATATTGTTGACGAAGATTGTTTACGATTATTAGGTTGTAACATGAATCCTTCATTAAATGGATGACTTTCCATTGTTTTATCATTTGATTTATAACCATTTATGTTCGATGCAAGATCATGAATAATATTAGTCCATATTGAGTTTGAGATTGATTCTGACGATATTGTAATAATGTGATCAAAAACTATAATAATCATCATAAAAAGTATATTAGAAATTTTTAGAACAAAAAGAAAAAGAATTACCTAAGATCAGTATAATAATCATTGTCAAAAATGACTTAAGCAAAAGCATTATTGAATTTTGACGGTAATTTTTCTTCTAAAAATAATTCAAATATAAAATTTTCTTGTTTCTCTAGTTCATTATGATAGTAATAAAATATCAAGCCTTTGCACAACTCCGGTTGTTTTTTATTAAGAAGTTAAGGCGCAACATCTACAAACCATGTCGGTCATAGAATTTATGAAAGTATTTGTGCAGATTAATATCACAAGATTAAGTAAATATACATTAGTAAGTTCTTATACATATTTATGTTTTTCATTTATAGAAAGAAAAATAAAAAAATAGCTGTACTGAACAAAAAATATCTATATATCATTTAAAAAGCCAATCTGTTAAAAATGAAGTTTATATTTACTTGGAAAAATCAAGGAAACTTATGAATAGTTTGTAAAAATCAAATTATTCATAGTATATGAATTATTATACATGGAGAAAATAATCCTACTATCTATGGTTAAATATCTTATTGAATAATATTTTCATATGAGAAATAATTCAGTTTAATAAGTAAATTTTGTGCGAATGACTGATTACTACCAGTGTATTGATATTCACGTATTTTGTTTCAATGAGAATCAATATATTATAAAAAAATAATCAAAAATTTGATGCTTTATTTTCTTTTCTTTTTCGTTCTTCCGCCTACGAGATTTCGTCATTTCTTTTTACCTTCAGATTATTAATCCAATTTCTTAAATTACAGATCTCATATTATTATTATTGAGAGCTCAAAATATTCTTTTCTTTATTGAGAGTATTTACTTTTTTTCTTTTCCTTACCGAACTGTTCGTCATAGAGATGAAAAGTTTTTCAAAAATATATCAATTTCTCATGTTTCTAAGTGCAAATTACAACATTACTTATTATTAACAAAAGTAAAAAAGAAGGAGAACAAAATGCTATCGAATACAGAGTAGGAGAAAATTCTTGATAACAAATATACAGCTTTTTATTATTTCGGTGTTTTTCTATTAGAATTTGTTTTGTAATCTGATATACACGATACGGTAATCGACATGACATAAATAAGATGGAAACACATGAAACTTTTAGCAGTATAATGTGAAAGGCGGGTAAAGTGATCATTGTATAATGAAATCGCATCCTCCCAAAGTTGACTTTGTTATTTTTTCAATAGTGAAGTCGAGTGTCAGAAGCAGTGATGGATTTATGGGGGGGGGAGTGCGATGGGGTGATCGCACATCTCTTCGAGAAATATTTTGCGCTTTTTTCCAGCAGAAANAATCCCTGTACCCCCCTTCAGGGATGGTCTTCTCAATAATGACAATTTTTTCGATAACTCAGCCATTTCTTGACAGATCCTGCTCATCTTCGAACTCGACCGAGACATGGTTAAGACTGAACTGTGTAGAAAATTTCATCGTGATCGGGCTCTCCTTTCGAAAGTTATCGTGTATACGGCCGGACGGACATACTGACCGATTCTAGAGTGTGCTCACTTTTTGAGTACACAAAAACAAATAAATCCTCAAATTGCAAAGGCAACTTTTTCTTTACGTATACAGGAAATTCAAAATCAAAATTCTTTTATAATACATTTTCAATCTAAATCAACTTCGACTCAAATAGAAATAATTCAAAAAATTACATATGAATGAAAAAACTTAATAATGAAACACAAAAAATCAAAATAACAGATCGCCAAGGTCATGATGGGTTTCTTGTATTTGCCATGGATCAGTCATCATTCAATAATCTAATGATAGGACAATGGCCACAAACAATTGATAATATTCGAATCAATGTAAAACAACCTCGAATATTACCATCTGAACATTCACTTATAATTCATTGCGTCTTCAAGAAATGGGATATCACTGAAATAAACAACAAATTAAAAGAAAAATATCCATATTTTAGAAAAGCAACAAGAATCATCGACCAAAATGGAACTCCAACGCAAATGATTAGAGCAGATTTTAACACGTCAAATTCAGTTCAACAATTACTAAAAGAAGAATATATATCAATAGGTCAAAGTATACATCAAATTAGGTCATATTTTTCTCCTGTATGAGTACCAATTTGTTATAAATCCCACCATCATGATCATCATATATCTCAATGCACCAACATTCGCACATGTTTTAGATGCAACACCGTGCATGATTTAGAAAAACCATGTACACGTCCAATACAATGTGAAAATTGTTTACAAGTACATTATTCAGGACATTCCTCATGTCCTCAGATTCAACAAATACGTCAACAATTAAAACAACAACAGAATATAAATCGAAACAAAATACGAATTTACCAAACCTTCGAAATGAAATCCGAAAATTTTCCACTTTTACCTTCTGCACACAAGTCAGTGATAAACTCATCATCAAAAAATATAGGTAATAATCAGCATCTAAATTCACAAGCAAACAATTATCATATAAAACAACCATCAACTTTAACCAAAAATACCTCGAAAAATATAAACGATAGTGTTGAACAGATACTACTAGCACACACTGAACAAATAGAAAATGTTCTTGATAACAAATTCAATACAATCTTTAAACAAATAACAAAAATAGATCAAAATTGCAAAAAAAAATCAAATGATAATAATATAAAAGTCATTAATGTAATTCAAAACAAACTTATTCCCGCTGTTGCAACATTAACTAGTATTTTAAATGCAAATATTTCAGACTTGACGATGAAAAATATTTTAAGTACTCTTATTCATACACTTAATCAAGAATGACAATATTCTAACTGAAGATGTAATCCAGTCAATCACAAACACTTCTATAAGGTCTAAACCATGACATTAAATCCATATGCAACATGTTTTAGTACATTAAATCATGAAAATATTACCATAAATAAAATATCACAAAAATATAATCCTTCAAACATTTATCAATTTAATTTTTACAGATATGAACAACTGATTAGAAAATACCGTCTTTTTACGATTAGTATGACTGAATATCAAATTAAATTTGGTCAAATCATAATTGCAGAATGGTGTTGGAATATATCACGACAGCAAATGTTTCATACTCATCTATCAATAAATTGAAAACCATATCGCTTACTGCTAGTCATTATAACATTAGATATTTTTTACTAAATCAATTACAACTTCTTCAAATGATCAAAGAATATCAACCTATGATAATATCATTAAATGAATTAGGATCACATACAGATATGAAAAGCATTGAACAAGTATTGTTAGGTTATGAAATTATAAAAGCAAAAGGTACAAATAGACATGGAGGTGCTATTTCAACAATAGATAAACGCATTCAATTTGTACCAATAAACCTGCATAAACCTAATATTGCTGCTGCAACTATTAGTCTCAACGATTCTACGTATGCTATTACTTCCATCTATTCATCATCAAATACACCTTTACCATTAGAAGCTATGTCATTGTTACTTACATATTCAAATTACACTATTCTTCTAGGTGATTTTAATGCTAAACATCTAGACTGGGGATGCTCAATAATCAATTCAAAAGGTGATCAATTATCAAAATGGATTAATGATAAAAATCTAACTGTTCATAATACAAATATGAGAACTTCACTTCGTTCATCTACTATCATTGATTTAGTTATTACAAATCAGCAACATGAATCAATTGATGGTAAATTACTGCCATATACTTGTAGTGATCATTTTCTTATCTTTATTGAATTCTCAAACATTTTATTTTCATGCAAATATGAACAATTTATACCAAAAACGTATTAGAATGTATTTAAAGCGGGTGGGTGTGGTGTGAGTGTGAGGATGGGTGTACAGATCTTCACTTGATTAACACATCCACACCCACACCCTACAAGTGAACGAGTATAGGTGCGACGGTTAGGGCCCTGCATTTAACTCCGAAACCCGATTGTGATTCCCACTCCGACTTTGTTGAAGTCGGAGTCAATGTAAATAATAAAAACTCCAAAAACAGAATTGCATTCTTTTCTTACGTATCATTTATTTTTGACAATTGTAATGCCAATCTAATACCCAGGTCAGACAAAAATTTTGAAAAAAGCGTTTAAACGCACAATCGGGAACCGCGATTGTAAGCCATTAACGCTCATTAAAAAAACGCACGAAAACGCGTTTATTGTAACTTTATGGGCATTGAAACGGCGAAAACTCCATTTTTTGAGCGTTAAAACGTATTGTTTTTAAGTTCTGGAATAACTGTGCGTTTTAACGCTCAAAAACTGGAATTTTCGCCCTTTTAACGGCCATATAGTTACAAAAAACGCCAATAAATGCGTCTTCATGCGTTTCTTTTAATGATCGTTAATGGATCACAGTCGCGGTTCTCGATTGTGCGTTTAAACGCGTTTTTCAAAATTTTTGTCTGACTGGGTAGTCAAATAACATGAATTAGAATAATAGAGAAAAAACAAAAGAAAATATTAACATTAGATTAACTTTCACAAGTAACTATTGCAAAAAAAAAACAAAGGATGAGGGCAGATAAGGTCATTTTTTCGCTCCTAACAAAATTGACTCTTTTTTATCGATTTGAAGTAAGGTATGACCCCTGATAATACTCCATAGGCTTATTTTTGTACAATCGACCAAAAGGTTTTTGGGACCCGTGGTCCCATACGAAGATGTCTGAAAAACTATTTTCCTTTGATTCCATTGAAATGTACATTTATTGGTAGAATCAAGTGTGCTGCTTACAAATATCAGTATATTAAGTGTTCGAAGTCTTTCAATAGCGAGAAAAGTCAATCCTGTTTCCGGTACTTCTTCGGCTTTATATCTAGCTTCTTGCCTCTGTATCTTATCCATTCATTGCTTAAACCTCATGAAAAAAGGTTCCTGGCGAGTAAAACAACGTAGTCTACTTAAATATGAAACATAAAATCTCCTAAAAGCATAATTGGGTACAAAAACTAGGATTATCGATCAGAAACCAACTTTTCTCCGTCTCCTACCTAAAATGAGAGGTTCCAAGTGTCCTGATGGAAGACGTGAAACAAAGTAAAATTTGGACTGAATACGTAATTTTGCATGCTCTATCTGATGGTAGGCTCAAAAAGTCCAATAAAGCAGTGCGTCAAGGTTTTTGAGTGTTTTCTGGAAAAGTATTTAAAGATCTCAAGGGTTTCAATCAAAACTGACTTCACCATCATGTTCAGCACATCAAATTACCTATCTTAAAAGTTTAAAACCTTACATTAGCTTTCATATATAACTAATCTTTTAACTTCTTTATTGTTTCGATTGGGTTAGATTTTCTCTATACCCAATTATAGAAATGTGTGTCCCGATCCAGTATATCAGTCAGATTTGGTTTCTTAGACAACTTTGGGGTAAGTAATTGGATGTGCTGAACATGATGATGAAGTCAGTTTTGATTGACATCCTTCAGATCTTTAAAAACTTTTCCAGAAAACACTAAAAAACCTTGACGCACTGTTAGATTGGCCTTTCTCAGTCTACAATAAGATAGAGCATTCAAAATGACGTCTTTCGTCCAAATTTTAATTTGTTTCACATCCGCTATCAGGAGGCTTCGAATTTCTCATTTTAGGTAGGAGACAGAGAAAAGCAGGTTTCTGATCCGTAATCCTAGTTTTTGTACCCGATTATGCTTTTAAGGAGATTTTATATTTCATATTTAAGTAGACTGCGTTGTTTTACTCATCAGGAACCTTTTTTCATGAGGTTAAAGCAACGAATGGATAAGATACAGGCAAAAACCTGCGTCAACGCTTAATGGGCGCTGGAAAAAGGATTGGCTTTTTTCTTTAGTAAAAAACTTTGAACACTTAACATACTGCTATTCGTAATGAGCGCACTTGACTCTATCAATAAATATACATTTCAACGGATTCAATGACAAAAAGTTTTCCAGAGATCCTCGTGGGGAACCACGGGGCGCAAAAGCTTTTAGTCAACTGTACAAAAATAAATCTATGAAATGTGACCTGGGACCATGTTTTACTTCAGATCGATAAAAAAAAAGTCAATTTTGTTACAGGCGAAAAAATAGCCTTATCCGCTCTCATCATTTGTTAAATGTACTTCGCTCTATGTTTTCACTAAATAATTTCATTAATCAAATGATTTCCATGTTCGGAATCAACTGTTTTCTTCGTTGTAGTTTATCTAAATTTTTCGATCAAACATGAAATCAATAGAATTTAAGATACGAAAAAAAAATTTTTCTTTTGCAGAACTTCAGTCACAACGCTTAAACCTTATAATGGTCATAAAGAAAGCAAACATATTGTATCAAAGAATAAAAAGTATGTATTTAACAGCTTTCAGATTTCAAACAAAAAAAATCTATGTCAGGACTATAGCATTTCAATTTAAAATGTATATATACCTCGTAAATCTCTTTCGAAAAGAATCGGAACTGGATGTTCTCCTTTGAAGATAATGCCTAATTATCAAGATTTTGAAATGTCGATTACAATTATAATATTCTACACAAAATAGTTTTTTTGTAGAAATTAAGAAGGTACTTTCCGCGAAGATATTATAAGAGCTTTTTCTTTTAAGTTTCCTACCAAATCTAAAATGTTTCTGTAAGAAAAGAATAAAGCTGTGAAAGATTCGGTGAATGACGCAAACTTTCATGGGTTCTATACGAAACCTAAAACAAATGTTCTTATTCTGTAGGCATCGGAAGAATCTTTTTGAATTTCGTAAGAAAAAGTTTTGCTTTCAGAGATTATAGAGATTTCGTTTATACATACCATGATCTAAATACATTATATAAATCAAATAATTTTTTTTTGTATTGACTGAAAACGACATCATTTATAAAATGAAATTTCTATTGGTTCTTCTCCTTTTTATGTCTATCCATCAATCAAGTTCTTTCAATGCTAATGAATCATTTCTTCAGTTGCATCTTTCATAACATAGGTTTTTTTTTAGTAAATCATGAGAATTCATTTCGAAATCGAATGCATTTGTAACACATATATATGTTTGACTGGGAGATCTTTTGAATTATAATAGTTCTCAAAAATATTGATAAAAAATTTCCTTGATATTTACTTTTGTAAATGTTTCAATCAAACTTTTCAATTTTTCCTGTTTGAACATGATTATTTATTAAGTTTACATGAATAGAGAAATCATTTATATTTATTTTTCTAGATTTGTCTTTCAAATCATGTGTGGCATTTGTTTTTGTCTTCATACACAAGTAAAATTAGAAAAAAAAAGAACCATCTAATGAGATAATGATACCTCAATTATACAACTCACTTGAAATAGAACGAAAACTAGTTGTTAGATCTTTATGACAACTTGTACTATCACAGCCTTATTTATTATTTGATGAAATTTCTCTCTGTCTCTCTCTTATTGCAATACTCAAATAACACAATAAGATTCTATAAAATTTTATACTTCGAGGAATGAAATATTTTCTATTAGGTTAATCTTTTATGCTTAATTTACCCATCGTGTTCTAGTCAAGTTTTATATATATTAAAATATGAGAGTTCTAAAGTGTTCAGCATATGTTTCATTTTTAGTCAATACCTCTGTCCATTGATTATGCACCATTAAATGCACGTGGTCCTGATTTTCAAAATCAATATGGACCAATATCACTTACATCTGATTTATATGTTACATTTGTTGTTAGTGTACTTGCTCTTCGAGGTTATAAACAACAACAACCATTTATTGATGAAGATGGAAATATACTTTTATATAATGGAGAAATATATGAAGGATCTTTACAAGTTTGATTATTTATTGATTTTCTATAAAGAAATTTTTATTGTTATTTTGCTTTTGTATTAAAGATAAAACCAGATGATAATGATGGTGTACTTTTATCTCATCATTTAAAACAATGTTCAAATGATATAGATATTTGTAATTTAATATCAACATTAGAAGGATGTTTTGCTTTTATATATTTTCAAGTATGAATCTATATAAAATGAATAATAATATTTTTTTTTCAGTTAATAAACGATCATTTTATTTAGTTTAGAAAAAAACCAATAGTCTATATTATGGACGAGATCGTTTAGGACGTCGAAGTTTAATGTATTCAATAGAAAATGATTTTCAAACAAATATAAAAATGATTATTAGTTCTGTTCAACTTAATCATCTGGTTAGATATCTTCGTTTTTTTTTAATATAATATATTCATATTTTTCTATTTTTAGTCATATACAGAATTGGATTCAAATATTCTTCATAAATTAACAGTCATACAAACTGATAATACTTTCAGAATTGATTCAATACCATATATAAAACATACAATTGATATTATTCCTTTTGAACCACCAACTATGCTATTAACTGAACTTGAATCTGATTCAATATTTCAAAATATATCAAAAACATTCCTTAATCAATTACAAACAGCCGTTGAACGACGTATTTTAAATTTACCATCACTTTGTCGTCAATGTAAACGATCAACTGATAGGAATCTTCGTCCAATAAATGGATGTCAACATGCTAAATTAGCCATACTTTTTTCCGGTGGCATCGATTCAAGTGTACTTGCAGTATTAGCCGATCGACTTCTACCAATCAATGAACCTATTGATCTACTCAATGTTGCTTTTTTCTCAGATGTATTAACACCACCAGCAGATCGACAAACAGGTAAGTTTATTATCGAAAAAAAACAAAGACCAATAGTCAATTTCTTATATGATCAGTGTAAGATCTTAATCCCACTTGTAGTTTATTGTTGTATATATCCAAACTCTGTGCAGCAATGTAATGAGTATATCTCGTAAGAAGAAAATCATACGGTAAAAAATCTCATAGATTATGAAAAAGAACAGAAGATCTGTAAAACAAATTTAAAGAAAAGAGAATTGTCATTCAATGTAAAAGACTAAAATAGGAGTTATGACTATTAGAAAATCCAAAACTTGATACGAGTTTTACATATTATATCTTCGTAAAACTGAAGTAATAAACTGTTTTTCGAAAGAATTGATTGTTTACGATGACTAACAACTAGAGAAAAGGAGAAAAACTTGAGTGTATGTATCATTATATAAATGTCGAGGAAACTCTTATAGTCTCATCTGAAGAAGATACAGTTCATAACAATCAGATTCATAGCTATGCAAGTACAAGTACTATCATGAAACATTGAACAATAATTTTCTATAGATCGTACTTGTTGAAACATATATGCATCTTTAAACTAATGTGATTCAGGAAATGAAATACCAATAATCCGGCTGGAATCGATATCATCATCTTGAGTAAATGGAGTAACCGCAATGGTTTCTTTAATACAAAATCAAATCTGCACCTTACTAAATGTTTCAAAAAGTTCGACTCATAGAAGATAATTGTTCCATGTTTGTTTTTGATGAAATCTATGATAGATATTGAGAAACAAAACAAAAAAAGAGTTACAACGTAAAGAAAACTTTCTCAACAATCGAAATCAGCTGAAATTAATATTATCTAAACGATGAAAAAAAGAACTTTTGATAAAAATTTAAGATAAACGAACATTTTCAATATTTTAATCATTTAATTTCTATCAAAATTTTCTGAATTTCAAATTGATTACCGTAAAGTTTTATTCGTTTAGGTTTACAAGCTCTATCAGAACTCAATCCAACACGACAATGGAATTTTGTCAAAGTAAAATTTTATTCTTATTAATTTACTCAAATTATATTTATCAATATTATAGATCGATATTGATTTAAATGAATTACGATATTATCGTGAAAATATTATTAAAGCTGTTATATATCCATGTTCAACAGTACTAGATGATAGTATTGGTAGTGCTCTTTGGTTTGCTGCTCGTGGTAATGGTATACTCGATCGTAATAATGTACCATATGAAAGTTCAGCAGAAGTAAAGAAAAAAAATTGATGATAGATATAACGAGTGTCGTAGATTAAATGGAACAAAAAACAGTTTTTTAAGGATGACTGTCATATACTTTCATACAGTCATTTGATAGAGGACATGACACTTTACGAGACTGTTGCGTTTGTTTTTCAAAGAAGTTTTTCTCGTTGAAGAAAAAATTTTAAATATTAATACTTAATCGTTCGAATGCGACGGTCAAAAGATGATGCAAATATTTTTGACATTAGTTTTCTGCAATTTCAAACATGTCACAAAATTTTCCATCTTCAAATATATGTTTCAGTATGTTACAAGAAAAATATTGAAGTAAAAAAACGCCTTGTCTGGCAGGATTATGAGATTGTTATTTTTTAATTCGATAACATGTAATCGTTTTTACTGTTCAATTTTCGAGGAAATTACACGAACTACAACTTGCCGTTTGAGCTCATATTGAGTCTACAGAAAAGTTCAAGTAAGTTTAGAATAAGCTTTACAGGATTCGTTTCCACAAGCCTCTAGAATCGAGTTATGACTATTTTAGTGGAATTTCGATATGCAATTTTGCTCATAGATAAATCTAATGCAGTATCCTAAAAGTTTTAGCCGAAAAGAATATTTTCCTTTTCAGATATTAAATTTTTAATTTAATTCGATTTGTGTGACAAGCGACTATTCGCTGAAAATTCAATAGCTCGACCAATGAATATTCTCTTCAGCTTCATAATTTATCTCTAGAGAGCCATGGTCACCAATTCTTTTGGAATTTGTCTAGCCCTACCGAAACCTTCTCACAAATCCAATATGAGTTCAAGCAGCGGATTACAGTTGAGATAGTTTCCTCGTTAATAGTCACATCATTTTATTGGAAATTAAATTCTACATCGTACAATAATATAACTAGATATTAGTTTCAAGTCTATTTATTGTTAACGATAACATCAGGAACCTTGACTAAGTCATAGAAGCAGAGAACAGAAAATTTTCTATCGATTAATGTTAACTGCATTACGTTTTGGATATAGTCTTGATAAGCAAAGATTTACATAACTTGATAAATATTGGCAGAAAATCGCAATTAGATGATTGATTAAGTTTTCATATGTTGAATTTTGCTTCGACAAGAAAAATTTATTTTAAAAACAAACACAACATTTTTGTAGAGCAAATAATTCTCTATCGAATGACTTTCTGAAAAACGCACTCGAGTAACTCAAAAAAAGAAAGAAAAAGTTCTTTTTTTTGTCCTATTTAATCTGTGCCATCTGCTACATATGTTTTTTTTTTATTGTTTATTTAAATAGGTGTTGTTATCTGGTTTGGGTGCAGATGAACAATTAGCTGGTTATTCTAGGCATCGAACAACATTTCGATCAGGTGGATGGAAAGCACTTGAAAATGAACTTGATATGGAAATGAATCGAATTTCAAAACGAAATTTAGGACGTGATGATCGGTAAAAACATAAATACAAATTTATTCTTCATATTCATTATTTCTTTTTTTTTTTTTTATGGTCTTTATTTAGTGTGATTAGTAGTTTAGGAAAAGAAGTTCGTTTTCCATATCTTGATGAACAATTAGTTAACTATCTTCGTTCAATACCTATTTGGTTGAAAGCTGATTTACGTTTAGCACGTGGTATTGGTGAAAAATATTTACTTCGTTATATAGCTCGTCATTATCTATCTCTTGAACAATCATCAAAATATCCAAAGCGTGCTATACAATTTGGTTCAAGAATTGCAAAACTTGAAAGTAAAAAAGAAAAAGCATCTGATCAATGTTCAAGATTAACAACAACAACACCAAATAATAATAATAATAATACTATTGATGATGAAGAATAATTAATATATTTGTTATATTTATCATAGACAAAGTAAAAAAAAAAAAAGAAAGGTATATAAAAGAGTATAAAATAAATACTTTAAACTGATAAAAAATCACTTTTTAATAATCGATAAAATAAACTTATATTAATAATTGCCATTATCAAAAGTCCTGATTGACCAATAAATGAAAGAACTAACGGCACATTTGAACGATTAATGATTAACCAAATAGACATATATGTAATAATTCCAAAACGAAAAACAACAAATGTAACTAAAATAATATAGAAGATGATAGATAGTTTCTAACCGGCAAGTAAATAAAAAATTTATATATCTAATAAATAATTCAAAAGTTTTTCAATGTGGTTCATATCTCGAGAAAAAAAACCTATTGTTCATAAAAAAAAAAAAGAAGAATAAAACACGCCTAACGACTCTCAAGATAATTACTATAGAGAAACAAAACATACCTAGATTAAGTATAATATTAATAAGAAAAATTTTACTTCGTCGAGATATATTCCACAATAGGAGCAATTGTCGTAAATGCAAAAATATACTATTTATTTCAAGAAATAAACTAAGAACAGAATATCCAATATATTGACCATAATAAACTGAAATACCAAAGCATCCAATAATCTAAATATTATAAATTTGTTTTCTATTATTCCATTATATATATATATTAGTTCTCACAATAATATGATGTAGAAGATATTCATATGTTTGTCTACCACGTGCTTTTTTTAACATATCAATTGAATCAAAAATAAAATAGCCTAAATAAATAATTGTTTATTTCAAAAAAAACAAAACAAAATAATTTTTGTAAAATAATCAAACCTATTTCAAATGAAACAAATAAATAAGCATTTCTTGTAAATGATGATATTATATCTGTTGTACACATTTTAGGATTTTCTATGAAACTAAATAAAATTTTTATTCATATTTTATAGCAATTTCAATTCTTTACTAACAAATAAATGCTTATAGTTGATGAAAGAATTGAATGAATAAATGATGTAAATACATTTACTTGTTTCCAGTGTTGTCGTTTATCTTTACATGATATTAATTTCGACAATACATGATGTATTGTTGAAAATGTCAAAATACTTGTAATAGATCCTCGGCAAAAAGAATTCCAATCGTAAAACATCGTTTTTAAAGATAAAACAACAAGTATAAATTATATTAGGAGTTTTTTATATTTTCATGATAAAGAACATTTGTCGTTTCTCTTTTATATCGTGATATACACCTTGTATGTATGTTAGAAGATGTTATGTAACGACTAAAATTATAGGTCATTATTTAATATTTGTTTTTTTTTTGGTCAGCTAGACTTTATTATGTTTTTCTTTTGTAAAAAAAAGCCGAATAAAGAAATAGTGATTGAGAAAAGAAAGAAGAGAAAAATGACCAATATTGTACATATTGATGATAATAATAGGAACAAACACAGCAACAACAAAAAAAAAAAGATTCAAATACAAACACTAGCGAATCTCTTTTTTATTCGCCAACAAGAAAAAAAGACAATCATGCACAGAAAACATCAAAAAGAAAAATATATATATATAGATCGATCTTAGAAATCGGGAAACTCTATGTTCTTTAATACTTTTATTTTCACGTTCGTGGCTATCACTCAATTGATGCAATGACAATAATAGATTTTTGAAAGACACATTTATACAAAATCAAATTTATTTTCTATGTTGTTTATTTTCTTATAAGTACAAAAATAGGTTAGAGAACGATGTTCCATTTTTCACTGTAAAACATTTTAATTTTAAAGAAAAAAGAAAATGTCGTCACACAGGTGGAATAAATTCGCCCGTGTGCTGCATCAATCAGTTTCTAGATTGTTCTGAAGAATATCTTTTTGTTTATACATGACATTGAATAAACAAAGAGAAAAAAAAATTGGTAATGAATGCGTTTTTAAACGCTGCATATATAAGGAACCGAAAAAAAAAAAGAGGCGATCGAAGCAAATAAAACAGAGAAAATTTAAAGAAATCAATGCGTGCTCAAACATATGCACGCAGCAAATATGTCAAGTTGAAAAAAAAAGAATTTGAAAAAATTTTAAAGACGAAAAAAGGAAAAAATAATTATGAGTGTACAAATATTCAATCGCCGGGATGTTCAGGGCATGTCCGATTGATACGAAACCAATTGTCGATACAACTAAAGAAATTTAAATAGATTTATACATAATTTTACGAAAGAAAAGCAAAAATTTTGATTATATTTATTTAATGACAAAAGAAAAAATTTCACTGAATATTTTATATTTAAACACAATATTTTATTTCTTCAAAAGTGTTTCTCAAGATCTAATGAATTAGTTCCTATGATCTGAAAATACATCTAGTGAAATATGAAACTATTAAATAAATTCGTACACACTACAGTAAACACTAATTGGAAGTCTTGCATGAAATTGCGTTGATAATCCCAATTTTAATATACCTATTTATCACACGTACTCGATATATAACACATAATAAACCTTCGAACTATCCAATATAGAGAAGAATTAGTGTCATTTATCAATCTGATATTCAACAATATTCCGAGAACGACTATTTTAAATAAACTTTATTGACAAAAATTATCTTTCTTGATTAGAGGTGTAATTATTCGCTCTAGATATTGATTTTCTGATTAGTCAAAGAGAAGATTGTTATAACCTTCTACATAGTATAAAGTATTTAAACAAAATCCGACAAGTAATAGTCTATTAAAAATAAATCCATATTCTAATAAGTCCTTTTGTTGATGTTCGAATAAATATCTTCATTTAAGCACGCAGAATGTTTCTGTCGTTATCTATTATACATGCTGTTCGGCTTCGAAAATTTCATGACTACCCTTTCTTTTTATAAAACACCTTAACATGATATAGTACGAAGTACAATCAGTTACTAAATATAAATCTATTCACCCTCAAATGCGTTTCTATGATTTAGTATATATAGACATCTGCAGGATTAAACGAAGAATATTTAATAAAATGTTGTCTTCTATTTCAAGAAAAAAAAAATATCTAACAAATTATAATCGAATCAAATGTCATTATACTAAATGAATTCTTAAGAAAGTTTCAATAATTTTATTTCCATCATAATAGACTAAATATATTTCATTTTATATATTTAACTTTTACCTTTTATGATAAATACACAGACATGGTAATCGAGCAATTTTTTGTCCCTCTAGTAAATCATCAAGACATATGACACATTCACCTTTATTTTCAGTCAGTGTATCTTCTAGAATAAACAAGAAAAAAAAAACAATGAATTAATAATTTTAAAAAAATTGAAATTTTTTATTTTATCAATAAAACAAACCATTATAATCTATACGTGGTTTTGATAAACATTGAATAATATGTTTATCAAATGAATCACTTGGAATTATTTTATTACATACAGGACATGGAACATCACGAAGTGCGATAAGTATACGTTGTAAACGTCGGCGAGCTTGTGGTGAATCATCATCTGAACTTTGATCATCCGATTCATGTTCAATGCCGACATAACGTAATAAATTAAAATTAAATGCAGCTGCAGCTGTTGGATCAATATTTGTTGATGTTGTACGATGTCGATTATGATTTGATGGATTATTACGAAATAATCCATGTGAATTATGATGACCACTACTTGAACGATGACGATGAGGTTGGGAATGATTATTTGAACTATTTGAATGTGTACGTGGATGAGATAGATTTGTTGATGAACCATTACCCGTATTTCGATGTGCTGTTGTCGATGATGATGATGTTGATGATGGTGGGGTTGTTAAACGTCCACCCATTTTGTTTCTTTATTTTTATTTAATAAAACTTTTAAAATTTACCAAAATTAGATAAATAAAAGAATAAATTAACCAATATTTGAAAACAAAACAAACATAATCATCGACATATCTAAAGAGAAATTCTATTATTTGAATTCTAATAATAAATATCACTTCATAGGAACTAAGCAGGGTTAAATAATCAACAAATAAACATCATACGTCTATCCATTTATTACCTCAAACGAAATGTGTCGACATCTTATTTAATTGACATTGGTGTTTTGATTTGTCCAACAAAACTCTATTCCTCTAAGTTGTCGTCATCACTCACTGAACCATGCAATATTTACGTTAGGTGTCTATATATTTATGTTACCGATGTATATAATAGAAAAAGTTCCTATCAAGTTACATAAAAATAATTAAACAATTTCGTGCTATGGTTCGCCAACTACAACGTAAACGACCTAATGCTAAACTTTATCGTTTCAAATGTATTCATTGTTTGGTACTTTTTGCAGCTGGATGTATTTCAACATTTACAGCTTTTTCATTGACATTATATGCAAGTTCGGATAGTTTAGGTGCACTTATACGTCAAATTTTTTCACCTACTCCACAAGAACCTGAAATTCAACAAACATTTGATGAATTGACTGAACATTATCGACCAAGAGGGTTTCCTGGTAAACAAAGATCAATTAGTATTGATCATAATGTGAGATATAATGATTTTGATTATCGTAAACCTGAAACGTTAACTTATAAAAGTGCAACATACGATAATATTGAAATACTATATCGACTTCCACAAAAATCTTCAATATCGGCTTTATTACTTATATTTCATAGTTGCAAAGATAGAGCTCATGATTGGTTTCATTCTTTCGAACGACAACGTATTATTGGTGCTGCTATAGAACTTGGATATGCTTGTTTAGTATTTCAAGCAACAGATGAAATTAGGCAATGTTGGTCAAATACTGCTGATATTTATGAGAATAAAGATGTGCAAATGGTATCAAAAGGTCTTGATGGTTTTTATAAACAATATCCTAAATTAGGTAAAATGAAAGACTTTTTTTATTTTCGTTTTTATTTTTTAAATTATCGATTATTTTTAAAATTTCTCTCATTTTTCTTTTTCTATTGAAAAGCATCTTTACCACGTTTTACATTTGGTTCATCAAGTGGTGGAATATTTTCAAGTATATTTGTTATTAATCAACATCATCCAATTCAGGGACAAATTATATATATTTCAATTATTCTTCCAGAAGTATTATATACTTACGTTAAAACAAACAATTATCCACCAACTGTTTGGATACATGTATGTAAAAAGTAAAAATAAGAGATAAAAATTTGTCGAAGTACTTACTGATGTTGAATTTTCTCCTATAGTTTACTCGTCAGGTTAAGATCAAAATAATGTTTGCCTGAAACGAAAGAAACAAATAATGATTATTTTTTCATTAGTTTGTTTATTATTTTTTTCACGTTGTCTAGTAATATCGATGTTATTCAATCGATTTGACGTTTAGATACTTATCTGACAGTAATTATTTATCGACACAAAATTTTTTCTTATCGCCTTGAAAATACGTCTGCATGTGTAGGAGTGAAAAATAAAGGTCAATAAATTTAGCCCTTTGAGTCCGGGAGTTTTTTTTAAAACTAAAAATATTTATAATTTCAAATCAATGTTTATTTTTGAAAATATGACCAAATACATAATTCAGAACACTTTCAGAGTATGATAATCTTTAAAACAATCCGTTACACACAACCCTACATCACATTCAATACATTCATACAATGTATCTGTTCTTGACTTGTCTCTCCTCACAGTATGAGCACAAACGTAACACTTTCTCCTCCGTGTTGCTTGAGTNCTCAGTCAAATCTCAACTTGGGCACATATCCTCTTAGACTTTTTCTAGTCTATGCATTCCCTACTTGTGGACAAAATTTCAGCTCAAAAGCTTGTTAGCACCTCGGGTAGTTCCCTCGTTAGACATGCATCGGTACCAGTATACTGAGTATTAGTATAACTGGTCGATGGCTATGGATTTTTCTTGATAATCAGATTTCTTGCAGACTATTATCAAAGATTCAGTTTTCTGTATTATAATGCAGTATAAAGTTTTAGCTATTCCTGTCAATGCTAATATAAATCATTTTTTGTTGTAGAAATATACTTTAATGCTATTATTCCCTCAATTCAAAGGATGGTCATATAAAAGAAAATGTGTTTGTTTGTGTATATGTTTGCAGTCGCGTGTGCATAAGACAGATCAAATTTTAAAAAAACACGTCTATATTTTATTACTTTCGTTATGTAGTAAAACATACATATTGTGACGGTAAGAAACAATAGAATTTGATATAAAAGAGAATTTAGATTAAACGTATTGATATTCTGAAATGAATCACAATACTGAGTACTTCATGACACAGTTTTATTTATTTAGAAGAAAAGATGGAAAATATGCTATACCAAAAAAAAAACAATCATCAATTCGATGTCCAACTTTATATTGCTTAAAATCTCGCGAATAAATATAGTTATGATTGAAACATTGTTAACTAGCGAGTTGAATATTTACGTTGAAGTTTTGATGATGGCTTATATACAGGTATTTGATATTTTGGATATACAGTATTTAGTATGATAGAAAGAACATTTATTGTTGCCGTACATGATGATAATTCATCATGCATTTTACATATATTTTGTTGCGTGCTCTTTCACTGTAGGAACTGTTTTTCTGCGTTAATATGTAATTCATCAAGTGCACGCTGATGTATTTCTTCTTCTATGCTTGAACCTTGATTTAAGTTATCGAGTAGAAGTTCATAAGATAAAGCTTTTTTTTTATAAATCTTCAAAAATTGATCCATCGAATCGATAGACATAGAATGAATTAAATGCATCTTCAACTAATACTACCTGACTTTGGTCATACGCTCTTATTTTATCACTAATTCACTTCGTCTTTGTCTTAGTTTGGGTTTTCAATAGGCATGTTTCTTCCAACATAAGTTCACGTATTTTAGTTTTCTACTTGTTCATGCTTTTATATGTCAATGATTTGTTTTGGTAAGGCTTGACGGTCCGGACGGCGTCGTATACCCAAAATTAGTGATATACTGACATACTCGTTCACGATCTTATGCAAATCTTTTCTTTTATGTATTTCTATTAATCCACGTTGACATATATCGCTTTGCAAACGCTCATACATAATTTCTAGTACATGTCGATATGCTGATTCGATAAGTTGTTGCGGTTTAGGTGGTCTCCAAACCCAATACTTATGACTGCTGGTGTATGTCCGATTAAGAATTAACTACTGTCGTTCTTCTAATGTTGACCTTCTGAACCATCACCACTCGTCAGACGGTATATCCCACACTTGCTTCAAAGAACATTTATTATCTTCATCAGGATCAATGTCATCCTCATTTGTAATTGATCCAAATCTTTTTGCATTTTCCTATGTTCTCCATATAAGTTTCTTTGGGTGTTTTAATAGCAAATGTTTGAAAAGAGAAAAACAATGTTCAGCAATTTTATATACATGATGACGAAGACGAGGTCCAAAGAATTTGTAAACGCTTAAAATAAACATAATAAACCAATATATTTGATCAATCACTTTAAAATCAGTAAAATCATATTCTTCTTTAGCCGTTGTCATCGCAAATCAAACAGTCATATCTTGAATAATAGATGGTCTAATTATCAGTAAATATCCTTCTAACAAAGAACTAAATACTAAATTTGAAAAGAAAATTTAATCGACCTTCCGTAGTGCTGGATCTGCTTATGGTCTAATACCAAGCCAATCGAGAAGAGCTATAATAGGTATAACATCATATCGTTTAGGTAGATGAGTGAATAGTTGTTGAACTGAATGGAATGAAATTGACTCAAGAATGAAAGAAAAGTGTTTATTTTCAATGTGTGGATCGAGTTTATAATGACCATGTTCGTCGCGTGCCGATTCAAATAAATCCGTAGAAGAAACAAGAGCAGCTAAATATGGGATTTTTTTCTATTTTATTTTGATCAAGAGTCAGAGTTTGATCTGAAGTAAAGCAAAATGTTTTTGCCGCTGTTATTGACTCATCAATATTGTCGATCATTGCAGGAATGTTTCAATACAACAAAATATCTGTTTTATTTATTTTTTTATATGTTTATAAATATTCAAAAATCATTACAAAAATATCTAAGAGACCACATACATTTCTTGTTTGAATGCAATTAACAAATTTTCACATATGCGTAACAAAGCTTGAGTAATAGGAACATTTCTTTCCAACACGTTCGAACGAAACATATTACTTATACATCGCCATCATTTTTGTAGAAAAAATATTGGATTTTTTTCAGAAGTTTTCTTTCTTTTCAATATTCATGTTAGAAGTTTTTAAGAACAAGCAAACATGATTAATTTATGTTTTTTTCCAACCATCACGTTTTTCTTTTATTCCAGTTTTGTTTTCAAACATGCTGATAAAGATAATAGTATCTTCTTGTAAACACGAATTCTTATAAATGATTATCATTTCAAATAGATTCAAATTAGAAAAAGAATATTGTTCACAGTCGTTTTCTAAACATAATGTTAGATTTGACCATAATAACTTGTTCTCAAGTCCTACAATTCAAACATTTTATCATATTTTAATTTAAAAGAATAAAACAAATAAAGAATTCTGTATGGACCCGCTAAGGTAATTTTTCTATCTTATTTCTTTCGTTTATTAATAAATGCTATTCTTTCTCTATTCTCAAGCATGTAGAAATATATCAAGATAATGAACATACTATGTCTTTCGAATAAAAATATCGAAACAAGTTTCTTTTACTTCGTTCTCATCATACACATAGAAATCTCATGTTTTCTGTTGTGATAATTTCGAGCAGGAAAACACGTAAGATATCTTAGATCAGCATTCGAATATTTCTCGAAAGAATTCACTCCAAAGAACTTTTCAAACCAGCCAAACAACTCAATAAGCTCTATCCAGGCCAAATATTCGTTCTGCTCGAACACCCTCGTCAGATGACAAAAATCTTCAGATACCATAAAAAAACTTTACGAAATGCAGTCAATTCTCGAATAATCGGTCGCAATTCACTCAGAAAAACTTTCTAACTAAACTATCCACTTTTTCGGAGTAGATCTCGATAAGCAATATTGAATGCGCACTTCTAGTATTCGATTACATGCTTCCTTCCCCTCCAAAACCCCAAATTCGAACTAGGAACCAGGTATTTTCCATAGAACCTATCGCAATTCGCCCACGAGAACTTTCTGACTAAATCATACACCTTTCCAAGTAGATTTCGACGAACTCCATCGAATGCACACCTTCCCAACTCGACTGGGTACACCATACCCCTCAAAATGGCTAATCCATGACCCAATTCCTGGTTTTTTGCGAGAAAATCTGTGATGATTCACACAGGTGGACTTTCCAACTCAATCATTCACCTTTCTTGGAAAGTCGCATGGTTTAATTGGAAATTTCTCGTGGATGAATCGCAATAGGTTATTCGAGAAGTGACTGCATTTCGTAAGGTTTTTTGATGATATCTGGAGATTTTTTTTTGTCATCTGAGGGAGGAGTTCGAGCGGAACAGATATTTGACCTTGATAAAGCCTGTTTAGTTGTACTTGAAAATTTGTCTGGCTTCTTTGGAAAGTTCTTTGAACCAAATCCTTCCGGGAAATATTCAAATCCTGTCCTAAGATATCCTATGTTAACAATGATGAAAATATATGAAAGAAAAAAAATTTTCGATTTAATAATGATCTTTAAGACGTCTATGGGCTGCTTCGATGATGATATTTTGCATCAGCATTATCAACAACATAAAGTTCTTTCATAAGTAAAGGATTTTCATCATTGAAATTATTTTATGTTATTCTTTTCAACATTTTGTTTTTTGATAGATGAACATATTATAAGTGGAATAACATCTCAAAATAAAGACTGAAAACGTTTGATGATAGCTTTTTTTTTAGCAGCGAATATTTTTCGGTAAGAGAATTTTGAAGAATAAATTGTGTTTTATTTCTCTAAGGATATTAGAAATTAATTGATATCGAAACTTTCTTTTATCTTGTTAGATTTGATATTGTCGAAAGGTTAACGCAAAAAAAGCCCTCTACATTTTTTTATTGCTGTATATATTTTTTTGTAAAATAATCCAATGAAAAAATAAGTATTTATAAAAAGAAGCAAAACGTCTTCTATCACTGGTAGAGAATGATCCTTTTGGTAGATTATTCTTTGTTGTTGTGTCATTTTTTGATACAATCAATTGTG